ATATGTTTTATAAATAAGTTGGCATATGCAAAATTTATTTCATTTTATTCTTATTATAAACTTTATCCTGCCATTCTAATACAATATCAATCAGAAAAGCATTTGATGTTTCAGGGAAAGTCAGTTAATAGAAGAAGGAATAGTGTTTAAAAACCATAGAAGAAAACTTAGGCCATACCATTCAGGACATAGGCATGGGCAAAGCCTTCATAACTAAGACACCAAAAGCAATGGCAACAAAAGACAAAATTGACAAATGGAATCTAATTAAACTAAAGAGCTTCTACATAGCAAAAGAAACTATCATCAGAGTGAACAGGCAACCTACAGAACTGGAGAAAAATTTTGCCATCTATCCGTCTGATAAAGGGCTAATATACAGAATCTACAAATAACTAACAAATTTAAAAGAAAAAAACAACCCCATCAAAGTGGGTGAAGGATATGAACAGACACATCTTAAAAGAAGACATTTATGCAGCCGACAAACATACGAAAAAGAGCTCATCATCACTGGTCATTAGAGAAATGCAAATCAAAACCACAGTGAGATACCATCTCACGCCAGTTAGAATGCCGATCATTAAAAAGTTAGGAAACACACTTTGGGAAGCTGAGGCGGGTGGATCATGAGGTCAGGAGATCAAGACCATCCTGGCTAACACGGTGAAACCCCATCTCTACTAAAAATACAAAAAATTAGCCGGGCGTGATGGCGGGCACCTGTAGTCCCAGCTACTTGGGAGACTGAGGCAGGAGAATGGCGTGAATTGGCGAGACGGAGCTTGCAGTGAGCCGAGATTCCTCCACTGCACTCCAGCCTGGGCAACAGAGCGAGACTGTCTCAGAAAAAAAAAAAAAAAGGAAACAACAGATGCTAGAGAGGATGTGGAGAAACAGGAACACTTTTACTAGAGAGGATGTGGAGAAACAGGAACACTTTTAAACTGTTGGTGGGAGTGTAAATTAGTTCAACCCTTGTGGAACACAGTGTGGCAATTCTTCAGGGATCTAGATCCAGAAATACCATTTGACCGAGCAACAATCCCATTACTGGTATATACCCAAGGGATTATAAATCATTCCACTATAAAGACACATGCACACATATGTTTATTGCAGCACTGTTCACAATAGCAAAGACTTGGAACCAACCCAAATGGCCATCAATGATAGACTGGATAAAGACGATGTAGCACATATACACCATGGAACACTATGCAGCCATAAAATTGGATGAGTACATGTCCTTTGCAGGGACATGGATGAAGCTGGAAACCATCATTCTCAGCAAACTAACGCAGGAAGAGAAAACGAAACACCGCATGTTCTCACTCATAAGTGGGAGTTGAAGATTGAGAACACAGGGACACAGGGAAGGAAACATCGTGCACCAGGGCCTATTGGGGGGTGGGGGTCTAGGGGAGGGATAACTTTAGGAGAAATACCTAATGTAGATGGTGGATTGATGGGTGCAGCACACCACCATGGCATGTGTATACCTGTGTAACAAACCTGAACTTTCTGCATTTGTATCCTAAAACTTAAAGTATAATAATAATAATAATAAAAGAATATTTATGTTTGGAGAGAATAACTACTGTGCTGATACAATAACCCTTTAATGTTCACATTTCCTTTTATTTTGATGATACCAGAGGAGCGCATTTATTTAAAAAGAAGGTACAATGTATGAAATAAAATCTCTACTTAAAAAATGTATACAGAAGTTATCTTTTTTCCTTAAATTTTAATGCAGAATGATGATCATTATATGTGGTATTCACGGTCACATCCTCTGAAGTATATGTCTAGTTCTAATGATTCCTTTAAGCAGAGTTATTCATGAACTTTAGCTTAATATTCTGTGTTCCCTTTTGTTAAGAGAATTGGCTTTAGGCAGAGAGTCCTCTGCCATTAATAGTGGTGTTAAGTGATCCTTCACACTCTGAAATACTCTTATAGCACACTTTAGCTTTTTGGTCTTTTGTTTTTAGAGTCGGAGTAGGAATTTTATGGTATTGTCTATAACTACTCTTGAATTAATCTTAAGGGAAGACAAATGCTTCATACATTTATTCAAATATTTATTACTTTTTCTTTTGGTGCCCGTGGTTTGGTAATGATGGAAGAGAAGGGAGAAAAGGAGAAAAAGGCAGCCTAGCAAAGAAAGACAAAGGCTAACTCTTTTGTCAGGTCGCCTGAGTACCACCACTTTACAAGTTTTGTTGCCGTTGTCAAGTTATTTATCCTTTTTCTTTCTTAATTTTCTCATCTTTGGAAAGGGAGTAGAATGATGTGATAGAGGAAGAGATGTGGTTTAATTCATGTGATGTAAATTTTAACTGTTTATGTAATTGTTTTGAAGGTTTTTTTTTTTTTTTTTTGCCTCAAATGACTTTCTTTGATATAAATGCCTTTAAAATTGAGTTTTGTGGGAAATGGCATGACATCTTACAAAGGAGGATAGTCTACAAAAGTTATATCTTGTAATTTCATAGAATGTTACAGTTTTCAAAATATTATTCTAAATATGGAAGCATTTTTAGTCTTATGCCAATCTTATGTCATAGACATGATGGTCATCAATATCCTCACACAGACAAGTCTCCAGGTTCCATGGACAGCAGGTGTCTGAGACAGAAATGGAATTTGGATGACATAAATTGTAGTGTACTGTTCTTTTCATTTGAAACTACATCCCAGGCCGAGCACGGTGGCTGACACCATGAGGATTATTGAGCACGGTAATGCCAGCACTTTGGGAAGCAGAGACAGGTGGATTACCTGAGGTCAGGAGTTCGAGACCAGCCTGACCAACATGGTGGAACCGTGTCTCTACTAAAAATACAAAAAAATAGCCAGGTGTGGTGGCTACTCAGCTACCAACTAGTTGGGAGGCTGAGGCAGGAGAATCGCTTGAACCCAGGAGGTGGAAGTTGCAGTGAGTTGAGATCGTGCCACCGCACTCCAGTCTGGGCAACAGAGCAAGACTCTGTCTCAGGAAAAGAAACCACCTCCCAGATTCTTTATAGAAGGTAGAAAAAGTGTTGATCTAAGAATAACCTAACCGATCTATTGGTGGGATTAATTCTTTTTCAATAACTGTCAACTTATAATGCTTAGTCTTTTCTTTGTATTTTTATTTTGCCACAAAAGAAGAAATGATTCAAAGAAATACAAGAGAGACCACATCAGTCATTCTTAATTCACAGCAAACTGCTTGGGATCTTTGGGGTCTTGCTAAATTTTTGATAAGGCAGGTAAAATATTATAGTTGAACGAGAAGCAGTAAAAAAGACATCTGATGCAAGTTGGATACTTTTAAGCTATAGTCAGATTCTGAAAATTATGAAAAATTCAGAATAAGTTGGGGAGTAAGTTAGGAGGAAGTGTACTCAAGTATGAGGGGCAAAGCCTGTATGGCTAGAAGTTATATGTAGAGTGTGTATATTTAGGGTTCAATATGTGTGTGCACTTGTTTGTACAACCATATTCTAAATTTAGTGATCATTTTGCTAGTGATTATTGATGATAATACTCAGGTTTGTAATTCATTTAACTTTAGCTATAAAATGTATTTTTTATATACTTTAATGATTATACTTAACTCTTTCAGCAGTTTTGTTCATTTATTAAACATTTTAATTAAGTGCACTGCCCCATATATTAATAGAAGACAAATAATCCACATTCTTACTTTGAGATTGATATTATAAAATGAAGAGCTATGCTAATTTTGATTTCTAATTTATCATTCCCATGCCTTCAATATATAGACCAAATAATTTTCACGAAGAGATTGGATGAATAGTAATTTATTCTGTTTATCTAAATACGCTACACAGAATTCAACCCTAGCTGTCAAAACAGAAATTAACTCAGAAATAAATGAGAACAATTTCTTCATGGCAAACATATTACAAAATTCATGTAGTATTATAATGGAATTAGAACCATCTATAATGGCAAAGAATATTTTTTAAATTATGCATAAAACTACATTGGTTAATTAGTTAATTTAGTTTTGAGATCACAAAATATTAACAGCATGGGTTGGAGTTACTAAAACCTAAAACACTTTGTCATAGTTCTTCATGAGGAAAAGACGAAAGAAAAAAAGCAACATGCTCAACTATAAAGCAGATGTTTTAATTGATCTTACTAACTCCTGAAAAAATGACCTTATCACTGCATAGTTTAGTAATCAATATTTCTAGTGACTATGTTATTCAGGGAATGATAAATTACACATTGGTGTTCTCTGTTTTGAAAGACAGAAAAAATCATGTTTTGATAATTCCCTTTCAACAATAATTAGTAATTTTTAAATAATGCTTTATTGAATACAGGAGTAAACTTCAATTATCTGGAAACAGTTTTCATTATAAATATCAGTACTGAATTCTTCTCAATTAATTCAAATATTCATAAGGTATTCTACTTGAATATTTAGTTTTAATACAACAATTATATAAGACAATGTGTTGAGACAGCTAAAGCTATCTTATTATTTACTTCCTACTTCCCAATTCTTGGGCTTTTATTCATTTTCTCACAATCATATCAACTTTTTAAAATGAAGAGCATTTCATAGTTATTTTTCACTCTTTTTGCTTTTAGGAGTGGGAATAAATACTAACTGAATGATATCCATTGTATGCAAGTTATTTGCTAAATGTTTTACAGGCTCTCCCTTGGGAAATTTATACTGTATCTATGATACTGTAAGGGTATGTTAAGTAAAGCAACACAGCATGGTGCTTACAAGTATTTAACATTCCTGTGCCTTAGTTTCTCCATTTGTAACATAGAGATGATAATACTAGTTACCCATGAGGACTTTACAAGGCTCAAATGAAATAATTTGCACTGAACACTTAGAAAATTAAGTGACAGACAGTAAGTACTCAATAAGTTGATAAAATAAGAATGTATTAAATGATCCAGGAAGAGGAGGTTGCATCTCCTTTAGGCTTCATTAAAAATAAGTATCTGAGATGGATCATACGGATGTGATCTGGACAAGTGGAGGAGGTAAGGCTCTGAAAATGAAGGCTGTTTTAGGTGGAGAAAATGACCTGAGCCAAGGTTTAGAGGTGAGACTTTGTGCTATACTTAGGGAAGAGTCATCCAGTTTCTGTGGTATGAAAAGTAAGCATAAAGAATGGAATCAAACTAGCTGGAAATGTAATGTTGAAGCCAGGGAGTAGGAAGATTGCTAGGCCAAGCTAAGAGGTTTTTACTTTAATTAGGAGTTAAACATAGACAAATAAACACACACACAACAAATGAACTTAAATATATTCAAGCTGGAAGCTGATATGATTAAAATTTATCATAGAAGATTCATATGTTTAGTTTGAAGAAAGATTGGTAGAAAGGATACATATGTTATTGCAAAAAAAAAAATTTAAGCATTAGAAGTATGGTAATAAGAATATGAAAGGGGGAGTTATAGAAGGATGTTAGAAAAATAACTTTTGTTTGGATTGAGTATCTACTAGATTTTTTAAAAAATGTTGATTGCAGGGTTACCAATCCAATGGTTGGAGCAATCCAAAGCATATTTTCCAACCCCAGTAACATAACTGGACTGTTGTAGCTCTGTCTTTCATAACAGTGGACAACTATTTGTCTTAGTAACAACTATTTGTGGAATAGAGGTAAACAGTGATTAGAGACAGTATTAAAAGTTTACGTTGGAAAGGTGAAAAGGTCTAAAATCAGTAACATAAGCTTCCATTCTAGATGCTAATGTTAACTGATATAAGCCAGGCAAAGAAAGACAAATATATGTTTTCACTAATATGTGGGAGGTAAGAATATTGAACTCATGGAGACAGTAGAATGATGGTGACCAGAGGCTGGGAAGGGTAGTGGGAAGGGGGGATAAAGAGGTGATAATTAATTGGTACAAAAATACAGTTAGATGGAATGCAGCCTAGTGTTTGGAAGCACAAAAGGGAAACTATAGTAAATGATAATTTAGTGTATATTTAAAAATAATGGAGTAGAATTGCTCCGTTCTTAAAGAAATGATAAATTCCTGAGATGCTGGATACACTAATTACCCTGATTTAGTCATTGCACATTGTATGCTTGTATTAAAATATCACATGTACCCCATAAATATATATTACTTTTATACTTGTAATAATTATAAATGAAAAAAAGCAAAAATATATACAATAATAAAAACAGCAGGATAAATGAACTGATACACACAACCACAGTGATGAACTTCAGTACTTTTATGTTGACCAAATGAAGCAGACACAAAAGACTTCTAACTTTATGATTTCATTTATGTGAAATTCTGGAAGACACAAAACTTAGTTCTAGCAGGTTAGTGGTTGTCTGTGGCCAGAAGGGCAGAGATTGACTGCAATGTGGTAAGATAACCTTTTGGTTTTTGGAAACATTCTATATCTTTATTCTAGTGATAATCATCACTTACATGTAGGTATTTGCCAAAACTCATTGTATTGTACACTTAAAATAAGTGAATTTTTATCATATGTACCTTTGTACTTAACTAAAAATGATGACAACAAAAAATGTCTATAGTTAAGTAAGCACAACCTGAGTTTTTGTAAAAGCAGTTGATATTGTAGTGGGAGAAAATGAGATGGATGCTTAAAAAAATTCTAGTATGGTCAGATTGACTACCTACTTCAGGAGTGGAAGAAGATAGAGAGGTGTTACATAAAGGTGCCTAAAGATAACCTATACCTTTTTATGCATTCTGCTTTCCACCTTGAGCATAGATAGGAATATATGTAGATGGATACAGTGAATATCTACCTTTAGATTATGGATATTATAAAATACTTTTCTCATATTTCAATCTGTTTTATATTTTCCATGATTTCTAAAAATCCAGTGTCATTCTATTCTCTTTATTATTTCTATTTTAGTAGAAATAATAATAAATTTTAATATATAATATATAAAATATATAAAATAATATAAATATAAAAAATATAAAATATTATATATAATAATAATTTTTATAATATATTCTATTCTCTTTTCATGTTCTATTCTCTTTTTACTATATTTCTGTTTATATTCTTTTTACTGTGTGTTTCTATTCTCTTTTTACTAAATTTCCCATCTTTATCAATCAAGTAAGCTAGGTATTATCCTTGAGAAACCCTAGTATTACAGGCTAACCATCATCACATATATCACATACGTAGCCACAAGTCAGCATTGCAGTGCTTCAGAGGCATTCTGGAACCCAAACAGGCCATTGAAAAACATGCATGATTTCAATGTAAGCTGACAAAAGTCTGGCCCATATGGCTAATAAGACTTTCATTTAGGTCAATTGGTATCATTTTAATGAATCCTGGGACTCATCCACAGAAATGAGCAAAAGCTTTAGGGTACATGGAATGAGAAGAGAATGTCTGAGTCCATAGCAGTGACCAGGTAAGAAGTTCTCTGTCACCAGTCTCATTTTTTTCCTGCCAAATGTTCATCACCAATAAAGAAAATAAATAAATAAATAAAAGAAATACGTATTTTCTTTTATTCTTTTTAGACTATGCCTGCTGTGACAGTTAATGGAGTTTGAATGTTGACTGAATAAGTTGGAAATAAAATATTTAATAAAGAATAAATAAACATTTTCAGTTCAATTGGGTGGCTATAACTACCCAATAACTATACCCTCTCTGCTGTACTCACCAGCATTCTAGGCAGAGACAAAGTGTTCAGTTAGTGAAAGGCCACATTCATTATTTCAAGGATCTTATGACCTCTATGTTCTGTTGTACCATATTGATACTTTACATTAAAGATATTTTCTAGATTGTTACATTGTTAAAGAATGTGAACCTTAAGCCCTTAAAACTCAGTGTTCCTCTCATTTCAGACATCTCCACAGATATGTAGGTTCCTGTTGAAATTTGTAGACATTCTTGAAACCTTATGGTTCATGAATATATAATTTAAAAACCAATGACCAAGATAATTTTGTAGCAATTTGTGTTATTTGGTTTTCTGAAGAAACGGCCTAAATGATATGAAAATCTAACTTGGTTTCATACCAACTAAATGGGTTTGTTTGGGTACTTTTAATGCACACAAATTATTTTTAATGACTTAAAATTGAACTAACTTGAGTCCTGTGGTGAAAATGTCAGATCAACTAACCCATGATGTTATCCCCAGAACATCATTTATTAATGCATTTCACAATTATTTAGACAGCCAGGAGCTGTTCCTGGTGCTGAAAATAAAATGGTGAGTAAAGCATAGTTCATGTTTTCATTAAATTTGCATTCTAGGGAAGAAGACAGACAAAATTCACCAATTTAAAAATCAGTATGTAAATAATGACAGATAATTATAAGAATGTGAAGACAGAGCACATTTAAAGGAATGAATAAATTGGAGAGAATTCGTTTATAGATGGAGGTCAGGGAAGCCGAGGGTCTAAATTTGGAAATATATCTGAATAAAATTGACATATTGAGTGAATTGGAATCTACCCTGAGACATCCCAGGTAGCCAATTTTGAGTTAATTGGTGAATGCAATAGTGGTTGCATTCATGTAATTTTCACGAAAGTCTGATTGGACTGGATAGGAACATAGGAGGAGAAATGAAGAACAGAGTAGGTATTGACAGCCCTTTCAAGGACTTAGGCTGAATTAGGGCAGAAAAATCAATATTTGTTAATAAGTAATGGAAATGATAGTCTACTTTTTCTGATTCATTAAATGCCATTTTACATTGGTGGCATTTCATAAAGTAGTGGTTATCAAATATTCTTCTAAACAATGAAAACTTTATTCATTTCTAAAAATATATCTTTTATAGAGCAGTCATACATAAAAAGATATCCTTAGAACATCACTAAAAAATCTTTGGAGTTGTTAGCTTGCATATTGCGAGCTCATGTTAAATTAAAATACTTTTAAGGAGCGGCTATTTCAAGTGTTGTGCTAGAAGCTCTAGTATTTATATTTACATATAGACAAATATATATACTGACTTTGATTTAATGACCCACTTATTATAGGAATGCATGAAAACACAAGAGTGCAGAAATAAATAGAACATATGGCAGTTCATGGATGTTTGTCCAAACTGGTTTTGTTTTTAGTTTTAGTTTTAGTTTTAATTTTGGCTAAATTATGGAAGAACATCTGGTTTTCAGAAGGGATTAGACTGTAAGGCTTCAGATGATGGGTAGGATTTTGATAACTGAGACGGTGTTGGGAAAAATGGCATAATGCATAGAAAGAATTTTGAAAGGAATCAGTGTTAAAACATAGGCAGGAAAGTCTGAGACATATTTAATAGTTGGAAAATTATCAGATACAGGCAGAGGAGGAAGAATAGTAAAGAGGAATCAAAATGTATTAAGTATTTTTGTGCCCTAATGTTATCTCAGTAAACAGTTGCAAGATCTATACCAGATATTCTTATTTTGCTAATGAGGAAATCAAAGTGAAAGAAGTTATATACCTAGTCAGTGGTAGATAGAAACAATATTCTAAAGCGTATCTCTCTCTAGCTCTGAAGTGTTCTCCTCTGGTCTTTACTGTCTCATAAATCAACCCAGAAAGAATTATTTGGCGCAGATTTTGGTGGGTAATGGATGCCAATTTAAAAAATTTTTAACTTGCTTTAAAATAATGAATAATAAATATTTAATAAAACAATAATATTAAATAACATTGAAGGATTTTAATATAGGCCTTGATACAATCAGAGTTGTGCTTTGGAAAATTACTTGGAAAAAAATTAGAACTAGGAATGGAGGATTCAGGATAGGAAGCATAAGTCAAATCTAGTCGTGTAATTGGAAGGTATCTAGGGAATGGCAGTCATGGAAATGCACCTCTCAGCTCTCCCTTCTGGAAAGAACCTGCTGGTGAGTTGTAAGCTGTACAGTTAGTGGACAGCTTCTAGTCTTTCGTGCTTTCAGGATCCCACGTTAGCTTTTGAACTAAAGTCATGCTTTATTCTGTGACAGCTCTCTATCTATGACAGAATATGTCAAGGGTGCTACAGCCTGGTCATTCCTGCCTATGTTGGACAATTGCAATAGGCATTCCTTGCTCTCAAGTTTCCCATT